GACAAACGGGACGAAATGGCCGTCCCGTCCCATCCCGTGTCCCATTTAACATTGGCCCATCCCATTTAACTTGAAGCGGGACGGGACGGGACGCGGGACGGGCCCGTCCCGTTGGACAGCCATACTCGGTCCATTGTTCTTCCTGTTATAAGTAGGTTCTATGAGTGTACTAACAGATCATTAGCCCTCAATTAAAGAAGGGATTTTTTTTATTCCTATACACTACTGAAAACTTTATTAACCTAAATGTTCATGTTTAGCTAATTACCCTGCATAAACAAGTTGTGTTTACAAAATATATACAATCCACCTTAAAATGCCCTCAATCCATTATTTGTGTCTTCAATCAAGGGATTTAGTTACACCATTTTCCTTTTTTCTCTCCTCTCTCCCCCCCTTCTCTCCAAAATCGGAAGCATAAGGAAAAATATTAAGTTTTGATAACAAATTAAATAAACGACAACCTTCATGAAAAATCCAATTAGGTTATGTAATGCTTAAGTTGAGATCGGAAGCCTTTCTTGAAGATTTTCATAGTTATCTAAAGAATTTTGCACCATTCCATGTTAGGATCAGAAGAAGAAATGTATGGTTTCAAAGCAAAAAGATCAGATTCATCAGTGCTAATATTGGGAAATGTAATTGTAGTCCATTACTCTAGGGACACCTTTTGCACTCTAGGGAAATATCGGTTTTCTATAAGGAAAAAAAAAACAAAAAATCCACAAAAAAAAAACAAATTTCTGAAATTAGTTTTGAACACGTCTGCTTAAGCGAAATAAAATGGAATTAATCGATACAAATTTGGTGAATTCAATCATCAGGTACTAGTTAAGTACCATAAATATAAATTTTATACAAAATTTATACAATATATCTTTTGTATATTTTGTATCTGATTTATACATAGTAAATTTCATAGATAAATTATATATTATACAATTTATCTACAACTTTCACACATTATTTCTACCCAATTAAATATAACTACAATAACATACAACTCAAATACAAATTTTATACAAAATTTATACAATGTCTTTTGTATATTTTATATCTGATTTATACATAGTAAAAATAAATTCATACAACTAATTATATATTATACAACTCATCTACAACTTATTTACAATTTTCATACATTATTTCTACTCAGTTATATACAACTACATATCTTAAAACTTAAATACATTTTTTACACAATATTGTTCAACTTTCATACAATAATTATATATATAAACAAAATATAATTTTTCTATAATTTTACTACAATTTCGTAAATATAATGTATGTCATGTCTTCTTCGAGTTTCAATCTGAAATTCAGCCAAAATCAAGTCTAATCTTCACCAAAATACCCTCACAATTGAGATATAAACTCCAAACCATATTCCCAATTGTTTGCAACAACACCCAATCCAAACAAATAATGGTTTTGAAAACCCAAATTCGAATTCAAAGCTTCAAAGCTTTTTAATGGCTGTAACAACAACATACCTAGTAAAATCCCACTAGTGGGTCTGGAATGGCGGTCAATGGTAGAATTTTTGCTCTCTTTTTCTTTGCTTTACATTACTGAAATTAGGGATTGAGAGATAGAGAGAGACGTAGAAAGAATTCTCATTTCTTTGCAACAACACCCAATTCAAACAAATAATATTTTTTGAAAACCCAAATTCGAATTCAAAGCTTCAAAGCTTTTTTATAGTTATCAATGGTGGAATCATGGGTGAGTGCAAGATGCGTGGGGGAGGGGGTGGGATGTGGAGAGAGAAACGTAGGGGGAGTGGAAGATACGGTAGAGTTATTTTAGGACACTAATTATTATCATTAATTCCCTTAAAATGTACATAAATAGTAATTGGGTATATAAAATATAATTATAGTAAAACTTGAGTAAGAAGGGTAATAAAATTTCCAATAGTGTATAGGTATGTAAAAATCCCATTAAAGAATATGGAGATCCCAATAATTCCTTCTTGTAGCTACTCGTGGCATTTACTTAAGCCTCCGAGATTCCAGCAGTGATGCGTGAGACGAGAAAAAGGGAAATTCTAGGTGTCAGTTGTAGAGGATTCCACATCACTAAACTCTACTCCCTCCCTCCGATCCACAATAAATGACCAATTTACTTTTGACACGCCCATTAAGAAAAATACTAAATTCTATACAAAAATACCTAATATGACTAAACTACCCTTAATCAAATATTTAATGTGAGTAAGAAAACTTTTTAGGGATATGCACATAAGGGTAATTTTGTAAAAATAAATTGAATTTTTTCTTGATTATATAAATGGACACTTATTTTGGACCAAAATTAAAAAGCAAATTGGTCACTTATTGTGGACCGGAGGGAGTAATTTGTAGACAAACACAAGATATGATATTTCAACATTTGAGGTAGATTCCATATCACAAAACTCTAATTTGTTAGTCAAACACAAGAGCTTATATTTCAACATTTGAGGTAATATATTGACATATTTCCATTTTAGGGGTGGTCTGCTTTAATCAAAGTCAACTGACTCACCTCAAATACGGGGTTCGCTTTCATCGAGCTGGTCGCTTGAGTCTATAGGCTACCTTTCCTATCCGCTTTTCTGCAAGCTCTACTTTCAGACCGAGCCAAGCCTGTAAAATACTTGAAATGCCGATTATACTGGGTATGTTGTTGTTAATACTTAAATGGGCCAATTGGCATTCCACTCACTTTATTGAGAAACTATGGCATACACTTGCGACAAGCTAGGAGAAGCTGATGACAATGAACATGGTTTTATACCAATCAACTTCTAAGTTGCTGCCTTCATCCTATTCCTCTGGATTGCTAGTATGCCTTTTGCCCAAAAGCAACTGTATCCACTAGACACGAGTCCCAGAGACTTGGAAAGGGCATTCGTTCCTCTCCTACCTTAAGCTACAAAATCTTTTCCTTTTCTCTTGTCCCTGTGAGCCAGTGCCCGATGACAGTATGGTTGTGAGAGTGGAGGGTGGTGGCAGGCAAAGATCAGGTCCGCTCCAGCCACTTGCTCCATCATAATTGTGTAGGAACATCCCTTGAACTTATGAGACATTTGCAATCATTACAGACATTTACAGGATACAAGTGCTCCGTGGTAAGACCAGACCCCAACTAGAGCAATACCAGGAGCTAATAAGGTACCCACTTCGCGTTCCTGACTGCCTGAGGCAAAAGTCATGTTTTGGATGACATACAAATGACATTAGCCACCCTTCATCAAGTCTATAAGCAGCTGTTGGAAGTGCGCATTGCTTCGTCAGCATCAAATACGAAGCAACCGATAGACTGAGACCTACCAACAAACAAAAAAAAGAGGCAGGCTTAGCACAAAAACTTGACACAAACAATTGAAAAATAGTAATCTAATACAAAAAATCTTGAAGAGTGGCATACGTATTAATGCATAACTACATCTGAAATGAAGCCAATACCTAAAATGCTCGAAGATCATTCCACACAGTTCGACTGTAATCATTGATGTATGCCAAGGAATCCTTCAGAGCATCCACAGCTTGACTTCCAGATTTTCATCGTACCAAATGATATTTTGAAGTTGTTATTGCCAGGTAGTGGACATGGAGGGAGATTGTTACCCTTTGGAGCAACATTAAATTGTCTTTCAGCTGTGCTTGAACCATGATCAAAGTGCTGTAAAAGTTAGATCTGAAGTTCCAGTATTTGCATATGCAGATTCAAGCAAGGAACATGCAGCAGTTTCTCAAGAGGCATCATAAAGGAAGAACAGGAAGCAGTTGCAGATGAGAGTATCCTACCTACAGCCTTCAAGTTGGACCCTCAAATTCGCTGCATAGACTGCATCAGAAAACTACCAATCCTCCCAGTTACAAGGAGATCCAGGATGTATAAACAAGATTATCTAGTTATGCCTAGAAAAAGCATTAAACAAGATTTCTAGAATATTTCTCACCTATAATTGCTTGTCAATTGCCACGTCTCTTGAAATGAGGAAGCCAAAGTTCCAACATGGCTCTTGTGGCTAAGGAAACTAAGCTCCAGTTTACCTCAGAGCTTCTTCAATGTTATCACAGAATATCATGAAAGGAGTTCGGGAGTTGGAAAAAGAATAGTGTTCAACAGCTCAAATCCAAGGTGTCCAACCCTCATACATGTTGCAAAGATTATCTACACTTGTTGCTTGTTTGAGCAGATAATCCACTTGTTCTGCAACGCTGATTTCCCTGAGGAGAAATAAAAGCACACATGGTCATTCACATTTAATACAAGATACTTATCTAAAATTTTCATGGGAAGGATATACCTGTTATCAGCTACATCTCGACCATCTAACTTCATCTCCACTC